GAATCTATTTTTCTGGTGTGCTGTAGGTTATTGTTATGTACTACATTTGTTACTCATTTATGAAGCACAGTACATGTTTCGTACTTGTAATTACCGCTACTTTTACATATACCTAAAAAGTTGTGCAAATATGTACCCAGAACTTGTTTTTCAAAATATTAATAAAAGGGGTGTGTCTCCAAACAGCCATCTCTTTCCTGACAATTCCCTTTGTGCATATTCTCTTACATATGATAAGTCAACATTGAAACACCTGCGGCTTTTAGTCAGGTGCGGCTAATGTATGTACAAAACAGGATTTTCCCCTGATTTTAGCTTGTGCGGCTAATATTCAGGTGCGCTTTGTAGTCCGGGAAATACGGTATTTGGTTGTTCAGATTTTCCAAAAGTCAAAAATTTCATAGGAAAGGCAAATTATTTGAACGGTTGTATTCCATTCCAGTACAGAATAGTAAAGTGTACAAATTAAAATTAAAAAAACAAACAGAAGAAAAACACATTCGTGAGATCAAAAAGAAGGAACTGATACTACTCAATAAAAAGAAACTAAACAGAAGAATGCAGGAGAAGAAGCATGGTTAATACCCCCACCCCCAACACCACTAACAAAACAAAAAAAGAAAAAAATGAAGAGGTCGCCTTGTACCAAAGGAAAGAGGAAATTAGAGAAGAAAGAAAGCGAGTGAGAGAGGAAGAATCAAATTGTGAAGGAAGCCAAGACAAAAGGAGCCAAATACAGAATAAAATAACAGGGGGGTAAGGAGGAGGGGGGAAACAAAATCAAGGACAAAGAGTAACTCTCACACTGTCACATTTAATTTTCAGTTTCAAAGGCTCCGTTTCCCCAACAGATTTCCATGTTGAATACAAAATAGCTCTCTGTTTCCCCACGAAGGGGAGAGACAGGGGGTATGGAGGAGAGGAGAGCTTGATTTAAACTCCTTTGAGCTTGTTAACAAGATACTTGGGTGGAGCCACGGATATGAAGCAGTGACCATATGGCTAACATGAACTTGCGACTTTACCTGATTAATGTGAGTGCGTGTGTGCATGTATACTCCTTAAATATTTGGATGCACTTGTCTACCTACCTGCCTGCAGACTTTTTTCCTTTATGAACTCACTGACTGTGAATGTGTGTCTCTTTCAGCATCTTGCCACCTGCGCTGGTGTGACAGTGTGTTCAGGCCCATTAAGCTAACAGGAGAAGCCCATCTAACATACGCTCTCCACAGTGCTAACTAACAGAAGAGACTGTTGCTAATTGCTTCCACTCCAGTCTAACTAATTGCAGTGAATAAAGATGATTAAAGGGGCTAAAAATAGCCAGAGGGGAGAGAGAATGGAAGTATTCTGTATTCTAACCCGCCCATTCTGACAAGATTCACATCAGCTTCGTTAATGACGGATCAGCAGCTAGCTCCACACACTCGCATGCACGCGCAGACTCACAAATGTCAACGAATGAAGCTAACGAGGACTATACAGACACTTTGCATAAAGCAATTATCAGTTGTACGAGACTTCTCAATGAGAAAAGGATCCTGACTGTGCCTTTGTCAACTATTTTAACTACCCCCTGGCTAGCCAAAGAATTAAATGCAACATGATTTTTAGTTGTAAAATCAGTGAATGAGAAGCCTAAATTATGCAAAGATTTAACAATTTCTGCCAACCATATGCAGTATTATCACATGGGAATGTCACATTGCTATATGTTTTTTTTAAGTAATAATAATAATAAATACATGAGGACTGGACAATATTTAAAAAACACCAAAAGTCTCATTGACACATTCAGACTAATTCTGAAAGTATATCCAGAATCTTTTAAACAGCAATTCCAAATGAAAAACAATCTTGATGCAATTGTGCAACTGGAGCTAGTTTATACCAAGGTTGTAAAAAACACAAATCTAGATTTTATTTTATTTTTTTTTGCAAAAGCATCACCCCTTTTCACAGGTGCAAATACATACAAACATTACTTACTTCTCACAACGAGGTTGACGTTCTTGCGTGCAGGGTTACCCACATTGTTGACTGCCGTGCAGTTGTAGAAGCCTGCATCCGCTGGTGTGACAGCTCGCAAAATCAGTGATTCTCCTCGAACTTGAGCACTGAGGGGAAGAGGGCCAGGGTAACGTGACCACGTCACAATGGGGAGAGGGAAACCTGCTGTGACCTCACAGGTTATGCGCACATCCTGGCCAGGATCCACCACCACTGTATCATTCACTGACAGTCGGATCATTGGTGGACCTGTGGGGCATAGACACACGGAAAGAAACGAACAGACAAACAAAAGTAGTTTAAATGGGAACAATACATGTTTTTTCAGTTGTGAACATTTCTATTATGAGCATTTTTAAGGTATGACTTTACTGTCTTTAAAAGTTTCTTTTGCCTGCAATTGTAATAGAGAGTACGTATAAATATGTGCTTGTTTCAAGCTCACATTCGAGTTCAAGTTCACTTTATTTGGTCTTTTCAGCCATATTAAAATACACTGCAATGTAACTCTGTTTCACAGAGCCCAAGTGATGGGAAAAATTGCAAAATGTAAAAGCACTCAAAACAAGATGGAGCAGTACAATAAAAGAGACAGTGCAAGGTCATAAAGTGCAACCATTCAATTCTTTAACCGAGTTAAAGAATAATAAAATAGTGAAAGACATAAAAAGAATAGACGTGATACATGAAATGACATAAAACATTACCAACACCAGACTTAAAAATAGCAAGATAATCACCACATTAAAACATTACAGTTCCTGTATCTCAGTGTCTGTTTGCTGTCTGGGTCTTAGCATGAGTCTTTGAGTATATAGCTTTTCTCCGTACAAACTAATCAGTGTACCAAAGGTAATTCAGATCCCTGTTCTGCTCTCATATCATCGCCTAGTCACTGCCTCCATTTCCTATGACTGACCTAACAGAAAAGTACAAGATAACCCATAATGCTACTGCAAAAGAGGCTGAAAAATGCTGTTGGCACAGAAAGAAATCAATTGGACCCTAGCATGTTCCAAAGGGAAAAAAAGTGGCAGAGGAGTGAGGATAGGGACACATACTACACGACGGGGAAAAACTAAGTGTAAAAGAGTAAAAGACAACAGAGTCAAAGCTGGGGCCAAAGTTGAAGAGGGGACAATATGAAAAATGTGATATTAACCACTTACAATGATGTTTGGAGACGTACATCCAAAGCAACAGTGAAAACCGTGTAACGCACGTTGTGGTTTCCACATGCTATTTAGAATGCTGTCTGCACAAATATCAAATGGAAACATTAAGGCAAAGTTTAAATGGCATATCCTATACCACTTTTTCATTTATTTTGTTTCATATTTATTTGATATTTTCAAATCAGTTGCAATAAACATACATTTTTTAAATTCAGCTATTCAGGCGGTTGCAAGCAGGTCAAAGTTGGGAATTTAGAGTTATATAAAACCAGTAAATGGATATTTAGTCAATTTTGTGTACATAACAATTTTGGCTTCCTGTGTTGTTTAGTTTAAAAGGAGTCTCTGTCTTATTTGGAGCATCAAATATGGATTCTTTTACAGTTCACGTTCAAAACACGTTTCATTATATATTCTAGTTCAGTGTAAACCTAAGCAGTCTAAGCAGCAGACTCAAATGGCTCTAGTAGGCTGCAATAGTATTTGCAACATCTTGTAATAGGTTTTTGCATATCTTGCCACAAGGTGTAGATGGGGTGACAGGAGGTTAACATTGAGAGAAATTAGCTTGTGACCAAAATGTCACCCATTTAAATCCTTCAAGTTGCCGCAGAAATCTTTTTGGTACACTAGAATAGAAAGGTTTTCACCTCCCTCATCAACTAGAGTAAAAACAGCCTGGGGCGAAGCAGTCAAACCACAGTTTCTTTACTGGAGCTGCTCAGTGGTCACAAGTCACTAATCTTTGGTTGTTACAGTACGGCTCTCTGGCTGGAAATCATCTGTGTAACTCTCCCTTAAACTATCTGGCTAAGTGAATGCTTAAAAAGAAGAAAAAAAAGATTTAACTGGTTTTTCACATACAAACATACAACAAGTTGATGACTTTTATATACTTTTTTACTATATGGAGACATAAAATTAAAAGTAAACAATGTTTGATCTTAATATATATTTTTTGCAATAACTAATTAGCACACTGGTGAATGATGAGGGATGAGAGAGGCTTAGAGGTTTTTAAGGTATAGAGTTTTTACTGAATCCACAATAGTATGGGTTTAATTATAAGCAGCAATATGTGCAATCTGTCATCTGCGAAAAACACCACTAGCAATACTTCAAAAAGGTCCTTGAAAAACTGAAAGGGCTTTGACAATGTATGACTCTTCTACCACTTAAAAAAAAGAAAAAAGAAAAGTATTCATCTGTAGAAATCAAGCTGTCCTTTGACGGAGTTCACTTATGAACGTGGACATTTAAAAGAGGCATCTTTATCATCTTTAACCCATATTTTTCTAGTTACTTTTCTTTGTATTTTGTCTCACATACCATTGTAATTGTGGGTCCTGATCAAGACAAAGCCATGACAGAATTTGTTGTATAGTGCGTATTCATATCATTTATGACAATCATTTATGATTTATTTTTCGTTCATGTATTTTTGTGGGACTAAAAGAACTGTATGCCATGAAAAAATATGCTCAAGCTGAAAAACTATGTTCAAGCTATTCAATATAAATATATTTAATAATCTACCTATCTGTCTATTGACTCATAATTGATTTAAGAATTCTCCAGCCATAATTTTAAATGGGCTCTGGAGGACAAGGAGTAGAAGAATTTAGGCTTTTATCAACCTGAGACTGTTAATCCTCAGTAAGAGACCAACCAATAGGGTACAGGAAGCAATTCATTCTAATAGACTTTATGCACTACATCCTCTCATCTAATCTCTCTCTCATTTTTTTATTTTTTTATTTATTTTTTAGCAGATTGCAATCGGCGTAATGAAAGTGGTGCAGAGCTTTAACAAACAAGTTTACAGGTGCATTTTCTGCTAATACAAGAATGTGCACAAAGCTCTACACACATTCTTCCACTCTAATGGGTAACAAAAAAGTGCAAGCAAGCACACATACATACACACACACACATACACAAACACACACACACACACACACACGCACTAATGGGATATCTCTTTAGCTAACCTCACTAGTGATGGCTCCGAAGCTGACAAGAAATTTCACTGGTGTAACAGCTGCAATCAGCACATAAATAGCACTGTCTACTCCCATTGTATCAAATCACAGCACTAGGAAAGTAAACCCCTGTGGGCCTGCAAACCCTTCTAAGCATTGAACAAACCTCAATGGAAGCTTTCACGCTTGGTTATGTGCCTGTTTGTTTAATTAATTTACAGTGAAATAAATTTATTTGGAGATGCAATGTAGAAAAGCCCTACTGTATGCTGATCTAATTGATTTTATCATTAAGTCTGAGCTGTCTGCGCGTTTCTCCAGGTAGGGTTTGTACATAGTAGGTTAGGTTAATAGATAGGACATACATAGTTAAAACATAAGTCAGGTAAACCAGAGACTGGGTTTAAATAAAACAGTGTGTCTATACGGTAGCTCTATAAGGTACATGTTAAGAGTTTCTTCCTGCTCTGTTGTTACCCCTATGTCCCACAGCCTTTAAAGAGTTAAGACATCAACCAGAATATATATAGGACTGAACCCATCCAAAGACGACTGTTGGTGATTTATTCTGTCTGGGTGTAAAAATCACTTAAATCCATCAATCTATCAATCCATCCATTTAACCTCTTTTTCAATTCAAGGGCCTGAGTCTATCCGAGGTTTAATGGGCCGAGAGCTGGGGTACACAATAGACAGGTTATCAGTCCATCACAGTGCCATTCAATCCAGTGATGGTATAACAATTATAACATTTATCCATCTACATTGCAAAGTTATTTCTGCTTAAGGTCTAGCCTATTCACTTTTTAATCTCAGTTCACAACATTTTCTGCAGACTGTTGATGGGAGCTATCATTAATTTGCAAAATAAATAAACAAACTAATTAAATATTTAAGCCACAGGAAAAAAAAATGGAGAGAAAATCTGAGAAGACGAAGAAAAGTGAGAGTTAGGCAATGGGGAGGAACAGAGGATTTGAGAATTATAGCTTCAATTTCCTGGGGATGCGTGGGTGACGGTAACGGAGGGATCAGCCAATGCTCTTCCCAAAGTAATGGGATTTATGTGCAGCACAGTGGTTTACAACCAGGTAACAAATGCCTCTCTTTTCCATGCACACACTTCGACTTCCTCTCTTCCTTTAACTCTCTGTCAGTTTGTCATCTCCGTATCTTCAGTATTCTCTCTTTTCACGTCTTCGCATCTCTGTCATACCTCGGCCTCAGACTTCCATCCTGCATTTTTTTAAAAACCCTATGGTTTGCTTTCTCTCTCACCGTCATCCCGTGTAACCTGTTTGAGATTTAATTTGTCTCTAAGGTAAAGGCAGAGGGGTTATTGGGGGGAAATTGGCTGGAAATAAAAGCTTAAAGGTTTGGAGAGAGGTGTAAGCTGACAAGAGCTGTATGTTTGTGTATTGTACTCAGGAACAGCGCTTGTCACTATCGCAGAGTTAGTCAGAAATATGGCGGGATAGCAGGCTGGCCAATGGGTTTGGAGATCAAGTAGCAATCAACACTTTTTTGCTGATCATTGGTGGTAATATGAGTAAAAGTTTAGGGTGTGATTGTAAAATGAAGGGTTGGCAGCTATACAACAGAAAAAATATTCTGAAGCAAAGAAAGGCTCGGTCTTGGAATATGCTGTTTATTTAAAGCTAATATAAAGTTTATTCAATTTCAATTCAGTTCAAGTCAGTTTTATTTATATTATATTAGATCACAACAATGGTCATCAAAGATGGACAATTAAAGACATCCGTTTAAATAATATAATTTTAAACTATTTTAACCGTTGCAAAGCTACCGTGAGCCTCGAGTGATGAAAAAGAAGACAATTAAAATTGAATTTATATAAGAAGGAAATGAAGAAAATGAATATTTAATTTCAACTGCAGTTTTCAATCAAAAAAGGCAGACGTTGTCACTTTGAAGTCAAGTGTTTCTCAACAAAGCGTTTTGAAATATTTAATTGTAAGCCACAGACAAAATATTCTAAAATGCAAATATCCTAAAATATTCCAAATGCAATTTTTGTGTTGCTCATGGGTAAAAAAGTGTGAAAAAGTGCAATGCAAACTGTCCCCAAAAA